TATTGAGAGTTATATTCTTATTAATCATTGGATTAGTAATTTTACTCACAGTCTGTGCATTAAACATTGCTGTTATTTGGGACTCCAGTTTTGGGTTGACTCATCTTCATATGGTATGTGCAACGAATGTTCCAATACACAATGTTAACCTGATGCATATTCCTTTTCTTAATAAAATGTTTAATATTCAATTCAATTCAATATGGTGATCCTAGACTAATATTAATTTCAATTCTTACTGTTCCTTAGTATGTAAATATAAGGGAATATTCATGTGTAAGAAGCATATATTTGGTAACATCTATGGTAAAAAAGTTGTTTTTGTTTTTTAAAATAAGCAATTTTGCCAAATGTCTTTAATTTAACTAACTGTAAATTTCGTATTTTATCACCCGATAAAGTTAACACAATTAGTTAAAAATTAGTATAGAAATAAGATGCACTTGTAAAAGAAAGTACTCCTAAGAAACACAAACTTCTGGTGACTCAGGAAGAGGAATGGCACTATCTCCTTACAACGCATTATAAAAGGCACGTGTTTTTTTTTTAAAGTTTAGATTATAATATGACAAAAGTTATAAAAAAGGAGGGGGCATTGTTCATTATAATTCTTACTCCGTTTGAGATTTTACAATATGTTTATAAATCATAATAAGTATATATATACTATTTTCCACCAGATGGAAATATGCAAATTTTTGGGAAAACAGACATGGAAATTGTAATGGATTTACATTAACGATGTTGTTTGTTCAATTACATGTATATTGTAAACATGTATTACGTACAAATGTATTACATTGCAGTGTCTTAATAAATGTATTTGAAATATAGACCTTTGATTTATAAGAATGTTTTTGAAAGCCATAATATCTCCTCTTCATTTTCTACTTCTTTCCAAAGTGGTTAAATGCAATACTGCCAAACTGCGAAGAAAACGATGTTGGCTTTGCCAACTTTAATGTTGGTAATACCAACTTTAATCTTGGCTTTTCCAACTTCAAAAATGGTAATTCCAACTTTAAAGTTGGTAATTTCAACTGATTAAAGTTCAATTAAAGGAATTACCAACTTTAAAGTTGGAATACGCTTCCGTAAAAATTGATCTCTTTGTTGAAAAAAAAACAACATAACCGGATTTAAAAGCAGATAATGCAAATTTATTCGGTAATGGTTGTAACCTTGACATATGTAAAGTTGGAATTACCAGCTTTAAAGTTGGAATACGCTTCCGTAAAAATTGATTTTGTTGAAAAAAAAAACATAACCGGATTTAAAAGCGGATAATGCAAATTCATTCGGTAATGGTTGTAACCTTGACATATGTAATTTCTTATTAATAATGATAATTTTATTGTTTATATTTGTGTCTGTCTAAAGTAGTTTTAAATACATAAATTATATCATTATTGATTTGTTCCTCATGGTCTGTTTCATGGAAAACCCTCACACAGGTGGCTTTGAAAAACCGGATCTAACAAGTTAACGTTAATGGATTGATTAAGGAATGTGGTTTTCATAAAATATTCAGTGGATGTAATATAAGCAGATAATCAGTGGATGTAATATAAGCAGATAATCGGGGTAAAAACGATATAGGAGTCTGATGAAAATCTTATCAAGATGATCGACGTTTCAGCGAAATCACTGTAATATGAACAATTTTATATAGTGAAAAATGCATTATTTCTTTTAAAATCTTCTTCTCTGCTCCTGGTATTAAGCAATCAAACAATGTGCATGATTATGATGAGTAAGGGTGCCTCTTTCAAAATCGTGAAATTCATGGCCCCTTGGGTCAGGGGTTCCGATGTTAGGACGGGGCTCTATTGATCCTTCAGTAAAAATGGATAAATTCTTTGATAATCTTCTATGCTTCTGAATATTTAGTAAACAAACTAATTGCATGGTTATAAAAAAACAACAACAAGAGGCCCATGGGCCACATCGCTCACCTGAGCACATTGGCTAGGCAAAAGCACAAATCAGTTCAGTATTGAAAAGATTACCCGGGGGGGGGGGGGGGGGGTACTTGAGAAGATTTTAAAAAAAATTTCCCATATATTCCTTTGTAAAAATTTGATCCTCCATTGTGGTTCCTCCCTATCCCAGGGGTCATCATTTGAACTTGAATCTACACTACCTGAGGATTCTTCCATATCAATATGACTAAAAACATAGCTTTCCTGTTCTTGAGAAGAAATATTTTTTCTATATGTTCTTATGTAAAACTTTCGATCCCCCAATGGGCCCCACCCAACCCCTGGGGGTCATCATTTGAACAAAATTTTATCTACACTACCTGAGGATGCTTCCATATCAAAATGACTAATCATGGTTTGCAGTTCTTCAGAAGAAGATATTTTCCTATATATTTCTATTTAAGACTTTGTGGCCCCATCCTACCCACGGGGGTCATGATTTGAACAAAATAGAATCTACACTACCTGAGGATGCTTCCACATAAATATGATCAATCAGGGCTTTGCTGTTCCTGAGAAGAAGATTTTTAAAATTTTTCCTATACATTTCTATGTAAAACTTTGATCCTCCATTGTGACCCCGCCCTACCCCCGGGGGTCATGGTTTGAACAAACTTGAATCTACGCTACCTGAGGATGTTTCCATATAAATATGAACAATCTGGGCTTTGCTGTTCCTGAGAAGATTTTTCCTATATATTTCTATGTAAAACTTTGATTCTCCATTGTGGCCCCGCCCTACCCGCGGGGGTCATGGTTTGAACAAACTTGAATCTACACTACCTGAGGATGCTTCCTTATAAATATGACTCATCATGGCTTTGCTGTGCTTGAGAAGAAGATTTTTAAAGAGTTTTCCTATATATTTCTATGTAAAACTTTGATCTTCCATTGTGGCCACTCCCTACCCCCGGGGGTCATGATTTTAACAAACTTGAATCTACACTACCTGAAGATGCTTCCATATAAATATGACTCATCATGACTTTGTTGTTCCTGATAAGAAGATTTTTAAAGGTTTTTCCTAAATATTTCTATGTAAAACTTTGATCCTCCATTGTGGCCACGCCCTACCCCGGGGGTCATGGTTTGAACAAAATAGAATCTACACTACCTGAGGATGCTTCCATATATATACGACTCATCGTGGCTTTGCTGTTCTTGAGAAGAAGATTTTTAAAGATTTTTCCTATATATTTCTATGTAAAACTTTGATCCTCCATTGTGGCCACGCCCTACCCCCCGGGGGTCATGGTTTGAACAAAAGAGAATCTACACTACCTGAGGATGCTTCCATATATATACGACTCATCGTGGCTTTGCTGTTCTTGAGAAGAAGATTTTTAAAGATTTTTCTTATATATTTATATGTAAAACTTTGATCCTCCATTGTGGCCCCGCCCTACCCCCGGGGGTCATGATTTGAACAAACATGAATGTACACTACCTGAAGATGCTTCCACATGAGTTTCATCTTTCCTGGCCCTATGGTTCTTGAGAAGAAGATTTTTAAATGATGCATTTATTTTTTCACTAATTCTTAATTATCTCCCCTTAAAAGAGGGCGTGGCCCTTCATTTGAACAAACTTGAATCCCCTTTACTCAAGGATACTTTGTGGCAAGTTTGGTTGAAATTGGCCCAGTGGTTCTTGAGAAGAAGATTTTTAAATGATGCATTTATTTTTTCACTAATTCTTAATTATCTCCCCTTGAAAGAGGGCGTGACCCTTCATTTGAACAAACTTGAATCCCCTTCACTCAAGGATACTTTGTGGCAAGTTTGGTTGAAATTGGCCCAGTGGTTCTGGAGAAGAAGATGAAAATGTGAAAAGTTTACGACAACAACGACGACGCCAACGACAACGACGACAGACAAATTTTGATCAGAAAAGCTCACTTGAGCCTTTGGCTCAGGTGAGCTAAAAAAAACAAGGCTGCCTCTTACAAAATTGTGAAATTTATGGCCCCTGGGTCAGGTGTTCTGGTGTTAGGGCTGGGATATATTGATCATGTAGTAAAAATACCAGGGTTGGGGTCTATTACTTCAAAATGTAATTAAATACTTTCAAATAATTGATAGTTTTGTCAATTACTTGCTATTACAATTACATTCAATTTGATTTTAACAAATGTAATCAATTACTCTCAATTACTTTGACGAATGTAATTAAATACATACATTGTAACTAAAGTTTTATTTCCACAAATTTTGAAGAACAAATATGTGTACGTGAATATTTTGAAGCAGCATTTAGATTCAAGATACAAGGCATTATATACTGAAATGTTTTTACACTTTTGAGATCACTTTTATTATCTTTAAATTTTCAAACATAAACACAAGCTCATGCCAAATAGTAATATTTAACTTGAAAAACAAAGTATTTGAAATGTAATTGAAAAATACATGACATTTTTGGAATGCATTTTTAAAATAATTCAATAACTTGTAATTGAAAGCAAACTCAATTATAAATTCTTTCAATTACTTTGAAAAAATGTATATAAAGATAGTAAATTACATTTACTTATTTCAATTACCCCATCCCTGAAAAATACATTCATTTTAGTCTTTGAAAATCGTTTCTGCTCCTGGTGATTTAACAGAAAAACTAAGTACATGCTTATAATAAACTGGAGTGAAATATGGAGAAAGCGAACAGTATTAAAGCTCAAACGTCCATTCAAACAATACAAATCAGGAGCCAAGCAAACACGGACTTCCAAAACATTAGAGGTAGGATGACCATGGAGGAGGAAGCCTCTTCCAAAATTGAAAATTCAAGGTCCTTGGGTCAGGGGTTCTGATGTTAAGGCGGAGCTCTATTGATCAAACAGTGAAAATGCGGGCCAGGAGTTCTGGTAATAGGGCTGGGTTCAATTGATCAAACAGTAAAAATGCGTCAATTCTTTAAAAATCATCTTTTCTGTCTCTAGGATTTTAGTAAACAAACCTATTTCATTCTATGATTGTAGAAGTATGTTCAAAGTTTGTTGATATATAATGTGACCCAGACAGGAAGAACAAAAGATGGAAGTTTAATGTCACATACAACAAATTAAAGAAAACAATTTCTTCATTGGGGGGTTGAACTAAATGACTATTCTTGAAATCATGCAGCATATCACACGACGAAACATTTGAATCGGTCTACTTTATCAGTAAGTTTGCCTTTTATTTTCCACAAAGTCATCGTTTGAAATAAGTGAATACTGAGCGTATGGATTTCTTCTAATGCATTTCCAGAACAGCCCGCCCACCAGTATCAACATTATGAGAAAGGACACGATTCTAGGAAAAAAGAAAACGATATTCATTCTTGATTTATTACTGGGATCTGAGTGTTTTGAACGGTCACCATCCTCACAACGTCAGGGGTTCCGAATAAACACGTTGCCGTTGGACCCCTGACAAATTTTATCCGTTTTACTTGGGCTTGCTTCTCTCGTTGAGAAGCACCAATGAAATTGAAGTAGACAGATAATGTAAACAGAAAGGAATCAGTTGACACATACAATGCACGTGTTAAGCATAGTTTATCACCGAAAGGTTTAATGTGATTGGTTGAGAGATAAGAAAAAAAAATCAAGATTTGTAACTTTCCCGAAAGACGTCGCTGCAGTCATTCCGCAAGATATCGAATGAATATGTCAGGGGTCCAACGGCAACGTGTTGAGTCTGACGTTGTGATGGTGAACGGTCAATAAATGCGTGTGTTTTTAAAACATTTTATGTTATAACATTTTGGAGTGCTTTGTTTCAATTAGAAACAATTACAAGCATTTAAACTATCCTGTGGTAAACTTCAGTAGATACCAAATTTAATAGATTAGATTTTGATAGTCCCCAGATTGGCAGAAATGCATACTTACAATATTCCAGTTAGGAGAAAGGTTATCTCGTGGAGATCCGGTCCCGGTTGTGACGTCACTGTAACGACACTTGGAGATGGAATTGTAGGTAGATGTGGTTCTTCTGTCGTATTTTCCATCTCAAACAAATTAAAACTAGGCAGAAAATCATGTCTGGTAAAACTTGAAATGTCTTCTCTCTTTCGAGGGCAACAATACTTACTTCGTAACTGCAACCACTGAAATATAATCATTTATGCTGTGCATTAAGTCGCTGCTTGACAGAACACGGACAGGAAGTGAGCGAATGTAAGTGTGGGCTACATTAATACTGGAACATTTCTTTGTATTCCTTTTTAAAAGCCCTCTGTTTTACTTTAGATTTACTGCAATATTCGGATCTTCTCTACAGGGTCTACATTTACTTACAAAGAAGGAGCCCATATTTCCCACGGCCCGGAGAGTGCTGTCTTCTTGTTCTTCATTACAGTAGAGTGATACTATTGTAGTTCTGTATGTTATAAATATTAAAGAATATATATAAATATTACATAATTATTTATATAGATTTGTTGATTTTCTCAAAGACCATAATGGAAATTGTAACAAGAAATTGTAACTAGAAATTGTAACAAACAATTTATAATACGAGATGGTACGGTGTCGGTAAGTTGTCAAGTATAAGGAGGAAGCTTTAATTTTAAAAAAGCAAAGAGCACAAATTAATAGGAAGACAAATTAACAAGATATTGAAAAAAACAACATTGTAAAATTTGCTGACATGAATGGAAGGAAAAACACAGACTGATGCAAAGCACTAAAACAGCCGCAAAAATTAAGCATTTAAACAGAATTTTCACCAGAATGATTCCAAGGGAAACACAAAGTTTTAAGTAGAAAACGTATAATCTTATAACATAAAAAGGAAACTAATTGTATTTGCAAACAATGTCGTTATTATAATGACCGAGGAATTTATAAATGGTGACTTCACCGAGGCTGTTGAAAGCCCTGTAGCATCAACTTATTTTTAGTATCCTGACTCTGTTTAAAAGTTGATCGTACAGAGAGTTGATCGTACTCAGAGCATGCTCTAGCGTAATCTCGGTGGAGATTCGGTTCGGCTAGATATTTGGTCTGACGCCTCCACCGAATCTCGGGACAGTCCTTCAGAATTTACTACTGAAAATTAAACCCAACTTCGGCCGGCTATAGCAAGAATTATTTAAAGTCTAGAGAGGTCAATACCGCGCCAAACTTGTTCTCCCTAGACTTTCCGCTTCTACATTTTACATTGGTAGAAATCGTCACTTCCGTTGCTTTCAGTTTCAGTGCTAGGTATCGAGAATTTTTGGTTTACTGCATGTTTTATACGGCAAGTTAAAAGCGGCAGACGATTGAAAGGCGTTATTCAATCATTTTTGAAGCTAGATCTCACCCGACACCGGTAGGAAAGTGAACCGAGTCCCCCCCCCCCCCCCCCCGAAATCCAAGATGGTAACTGACGTACCTTCAATCTTTTTATATAAGTAATATGATATTTTTAAAATGAGTCATTTTCAGCGATTTTTGATTTTTATTTTAATGAGTGTAGTCAGACACACCTAGAAAACACATAAAACACAAAATACACTATCCTGAAACCAAGCGCCTATGGTCATCCCTAGTCCTACCAGCTCTTTCCCTCTGCGGAATTCCTTACCATTTTTAAATATTTTGTCCCACCAGAATCAATTCTAGATAGTGGATCCGAATACTCAGTGTTTCAGAAGTATGTCTAGTCTTGTAATTCTTTGATAGTTAATATCTACAATAGGATTTCTTTTTTCAATTGCATCCATTTTGAACATCAGTAGTCGACCGGAAGTAAACAAAGAAAACGGTAAGTTTTTTTTTTTTTAATGAAAACTGCATGTAGAAAAAGAAAAGAGCAAGTATTGTCATTTCATTAAAAAAAAACTGATTTCAAACTATGAATATTTCATTTTTAAAATATTTAGAAAAAACATTTCACAAAAATTCTCAATAATTCATGGGAACATTATATATCATATGGTTAAATAACAAGTTTTTCCGGTCCAAGATTGAGTCCATTAATTGCCGAATAAAGAACTACCTTACATGTAATTACTGAATATTAATTTTAACTAAACAGTTTCGAGTTCTAACATACCTTTTTCCGTCCCTGGAATTATAGGTGATTGACAAGTTTCCATTATCAAAATGACCGAATGTAGCACCATTTTGAATTCCTATGTCCAGAAATTCTGTCTTAATTTTGTTCTCTCTGCAGCTCTGTATAAAAACATCTTTGATTGGGATAAATTAATGCATATAATAATAAAATAAGTCAAGAATATGACCTTGGTTGGGCATTAAAATTTGCTAGGAACTTTTCTTTGATATATCAGTAAAAGTCAAGGTAAAATCTAGAAAATGTATGTTAGTCTCGTTAGTTTTGAAAGAATTTATTGCATACGCACACCAAAACAAGCCGAATTGATTTTTTTTCCATATCAGTAGAACATAGCTCCATTTTCAAATGTGGGTTGAAATATAGATTTTTACTTTAACTGGATTGAGAAGACATCTTACATTTAAGATACAATTAATGATAAAACATTGACATCTTTCATATAAAAATATATAAAGATCAGAGTCATATCACGAACAAGATTTATATTCCAATATCCTATGAGTTGTGTAGAGCCCTACTCTCAGTTAGAGTAAACCAGCGAAAAACTGATGGTAGTGTAACAATGTTTAGGGTTAAATCCCGCAATTGATTTCTTTTTTAACACAGTATAAAACAAAGTATGGTTTTTATGTTTTGCAGTACAATTAAAGCTATGCACGTTCTGGGCGCCTTATTCTGTGGTCCTTTATAAATAAGAATGTAATATACAGGAAAGTGTTACCGCTACGTTGATACAGCCAGACGTGTCATTGGTAGATTTTTCTACAAAACCATAGCAGGGATTCCAGGAATACATATGATTATTGTCTCCGTCTGCTGGGGTACGGTCCTGGTATCTGAATATAAGTACAAAGTTCACAGAGAGTATGTGTGAACAGCTGATGATACCAACAATGTATATACTGAACGTTTAAAGTATTTCACCCTATAAATAGGACATAATTCTCCATCTTTAAATTTACATCTTGTACATAATACTCTGACTGATATTAATTCTAAGCATTTACCAAAGTCAAAAAAAGTTGTTACCTAACCAGTAATTAATAATTAAAAGAAGTTTGCATTGAAGTCCTTAGGAATAACCGAATTTTAATATAAAAATTCAAATTCTAAGAATACCAAAGACATTAAATGCTGTGGAGAAAACGTAAATAGGAATGGAATAAATATTGGAGGGAAAAAAAAACAGAGAGAGATAACTCATCAAGGATACAAATTACAGGTCAGGTTCATAAATTAGGACACAAATGGGAATTATATATATCTAAAAATTCTGTTATGTATTCAATTTCATTGAATCTGGCCTAAAGCTAATAGGGATGGAATATCTTAAATCATTCATGGTAAAAATTAATAGGCAATATTAACATTTACATTACCATCAAGATTACCTAGCAGTGAAGTTTTTCCAGGCAAGTGGTCGTAAATCCACGAAGTTTCCGTATTCGTCCTTACAAACACATGGCGCAGTGGAGCTAACGATCTGGCAGTGTTGTGGAATATACTTCAGTGAATTCACACCAAGACAAAATAATAATGACAGAAGAAACTTGACATGACCCATCTGTATATATCAAAAGTTGCGTTCAAATCAAAGCATCTTATCAAGTACAATGTATTCTACAGATACCCATATAAATAAATATTGTTTACATTACACATAAATACCTATTTACTTTGTTGGTAATGATAAGAACGTACTCTATCGTACATGTATAAATTATGTTGAGTTGACTAATATATATATATATATATATATATATATATATATATATATATATATATATATATATATATATATATAACTCTGATTTAAGGACTAGGGAGACCAGACCATTATATATGGCTTAAGGAGACAATATACAAATTTTTTAAATCTGCTTTTTTCTAAAAAGAAATACCAGATCAAAGATCTATAGAACACCATTTAGTCGACTCTTGCTTTATTTTTTCATAATAAATGCCTCCTAAAAATATATGAAAAAAATGGTCTCCTTAATATTTTATGTTTCTCTCATATGACTTAAGGAGACCAGTGTATATTTTTTATAAATATAACTTGTGGTTTAAGTAGACCATTTTTCTTTCATAGTAATTTCACTTATTATGCATTAATTAACATATTGTTTCCAACCAGAATAGTTGCGGATGGTCATTAGTCAAGGTCAGCAGAAAGATATTTGTGCTAATGTGACTCAACATGATCAGTACAAAACGTTGAATTAAACTAAAGTTTATCATTGCACAAGTGACTTAAATAGAGAGTAGTTGCCCCAGTGGCGCAGTGGTTAGAGCGTCTGCTCTAGAGTAGCGAAGTAAGGAGTTGATCCTTTCGTCGCAGGTTCAAATCCCACTGTGGGATGGGGAGACCGGTCCTTCAGATGAAACCGTATAAATTGAGGTCCTGTGTCGCAGTAGGTGCTGGCACGAAAAAAATCCCTCGATGCTCAATGGCCGTAAGTGCCGATATAGGACAAAATTTGCAGATCTCCACCGGCATGTGGTGGTGTCTCCATTTGAGTGAAAAAATCTTGAGAGGAATGTTAAACAACATACAATCAATCAATATATAGAGAGTATAAGCCCAGAGTAGCTTGTTCTGATATCCACATTTAACTCTCAATGCTGTCGCCCACGTGGTGCAGTGGAAAGAGCCAATGCTCTAGAGTCGTGGAGTTAGTTGATCCTTTTCTCACATGTTTGAATCCCACTTTGGGACGTAGAGACCGGTCCTTCGTACAAACAGAGGTCCAGTGTCGCAGTAGATGCTGGCATGAAAAAGATCCCTCACTGCCCATTGGCCCTGAGTGCCGAGCATAGCTAATTTGCAGCTCTCCATCAGCAAGTGTTGGCATCTCCATATGAGTGAAAAATTCTCCAGAGGGACGTTAAACAACAAACAAACTCTCAATGCCCAAAACAGTTTAACCTAAAAGTGAATGCAGACATAGATTATTCTTTAGACCAAGTATAGTATACTCCATATTGTTTTGTTGAGGACACAAAGTTCACAGTGGACTTCAAGTAGTTTTTCCTGCTATTTATACCAAGCTTCTTTTAAACCATATAGTCACTGAGTGCATTCGCTTTCCAACTAATTGATGAACTTCTGACCTATGCCTATATTTGTTTAAATTCTTTCTGATTTAAGAATACATTTGACCAGTTGAAACCAAGAGTACATGTACTACATAAAATTTCAAGGTTGTGATTAAGATTCAGTAAAAGTTATGCCCCATCCAGTATAGCAATATGTGAAAGCCATGTTCAATATACATATTTGCTATCATTAAACTTGCAGAGACCATGAATCAAAATAATTCAAATGCTTAAAAATCATTTTATTTTTACTGCTAGTCAAAATACAGTCACTCAAGCATATCCTTTGTTAATTTGAAAAAAAAAAATGACAGTTTAACATTTATTATTAATACCATACCAAAGCACAAGATAGTGCACTTCTTACATAATCCAATGATTCATGCTGTGATTTTACCTATTTAGATGTTTCTTATTTACAGTTCAGTATACATGATATACCAGTACAATGTGACACTAACCTAGTATCAGCTAAATGGATCATTACTATTCTGTTTTTAAGAAGTTTGCAGGGTAAAAAGTATAATAAAATAAAAATGTTGATACATTTATTGATTGCATATGCTAAAAACTTTTATAAAATATCAAACATTGTATCATAACAGCTTTTACAAATGAATTCAATACATTCAAAGGTACAAAAATCAAATTATTTTCATCCACAGTTTTATCATATTCAGTTGAACAACAGCTACATCTATTATATAAAATGTATGGTAGTTGGCACTGATGGTATATATATCCTGAGCAAAGAAAAAACATACCTAATCAAAGAATACAAAGCTCACTTCTATAAATGTTATCTACTAGTAAGGCAAAGTCTCACTCAACAAACACTCTGGTAATGTATATCACCTGGATCCAAAATCTATGCAAGTTGGTCTGGGTTAGATTTAACTGCTCAATAACCCTGAAAATGTATGTTACATCCAGCATCAGAAGCAGGATACATCATCTATGTTTACTGATCACCAAAGAGTATATTGTTACTTTGAATGAACCTTCTCTAAAAAACTGGTCATTAATCCAGAAAATCTAAGTCAAATCAAGGATTGGTACCCTGAAACATTTACATGTACATACATCATCTTTGCAGGTTTGTTCAACATAGAGTTTATAATTACATGAGAATAGGACTGCTCAAAACACTTAATCTTGTGGAGTCCCCCATGTGGCGCAAAGGAGAGAGTTTGTAATCTAGAGTCGTGAGTAAGGATTTAATCCTTAAGTCTCAGGTTCAAATCCACTGGGGTTGTGGGGACCAGTCCTTCAGATTAGACCATATAAACTGAGGTCCCGCCTAGCAGTTGATGTGGGCACAAAAAAGATCCCTTACTGCTCAAGGCCCTGAGTGCAAAGTATAGGTCAAATTTTGCAGCTCTCCACCAGCAAGTAGTGGCATCTCCATATGGATGAAAAATTCTTGAGAGGGATGTTAAACAACAAACAAACAAAAACAAAAAAAACACATGAGGAAAATGTAGATCAGGTCAAGCATCTGAAGTAAATCTGTTAATGTGCTTTAATCCATGCAAGTTTGTCCAGGTAGAGCTTAGGAATGAACCTTGCTCCTTAAATTTTAACTGGGATGACAATGCTAGGTATATAATAAGAACTCATCTAGACTGTCCAGAAAAGCTAAAAAATATTTAGCAATTTCTTACTTGCATGATTTAAAAAAATCTGCAATCTAACATTATTTAAAAAAAAATTCAACACATTTTCTAATTTTCAACAAATTCAATGCACTTTGAGACGATTTAACATTTCTTAACCACATACACTGTACTTAAAGTGCAATATACATGCATTATACTGTATGTTAAATCTTTACAGTTTTCTTCAAGTACTCTAATAGTATATGAAATATGAAGATTACCAACAGTGATCAAGCTTTAAAGTCCATTGAAACAATACATAATTAGAGCAGAGCAAACACAGACCTCTAAAAACACCAGGTGCAATGGAGGAGAAAGCATTTCCTGCCATGTGCTCCTTGACATGACTGGGCAAATGGAAAAATCCACAAACAATTCAGTGTAAACAATTTTGATGAAAAACATTAGTCAACATTCAACTTAATGATCGATTGAATTTGCTATAACAATTAATTTACACGTAAGTGTACACACATGTATGCATACTAGATGAATTATTTCACAATATCCAAAATTGGACAATAATAGTTTCTAATCTAGCTAGACAACAGGAAATTTTCATTATTACTTACATTACATGAAACTATTGAAGTCTGTGAGCTACAAATTATATCTAAAAATTATACACATTTTAACAAGTGTTTACAGTTTAGTGTATTTATTATACACAAATGATGACTTAGTAATTATGACATACTAGTAAAGTCCACAGATTGACTTCCAGATTTCAGCTCAAAGGCTTGAAGATTTTTAGTGGCTCTTTCATCATTTTTTTTTCACTGAATATTTTCATTTTTATTTTCAAGACGCTGTTTTTGTTGAGGTCTTTTAGCAGTTTGATGCAATCCAAGAACTCCAAGGGCAATTTAAGAACTCCTGAATTTCTTTCTTACCTGGAAAAAATAAAAATTTAAAAGTTTAAAATATATTCAACTTACATGAAGAAAACTAGTAAAACTAGTGATAATGTAATAGACCTTTCAGATGTTCCAAAGCAGCTACATGTATCTAATTAAAAAATATAAAGTTTGAAGTATTTAGAGTCACCTGTACTCTGAACATGGGATATATGTATTTGACAGACAGATGAATGAATAGACTGATCACTATAGAGCACCTTAGTCTTAATTTTCAATAATCTTTATATTAGTGAACTAGAGTGTTTCAAGGAATGTATATGTCACCTACTAGGTATCGTCATTAAAGAGGTAAATAAATCTAAGAGTGGTCAGCTATTAATTTAATATTAGCATGGAGGTTCATGCATTTGCCTGCAAGGAAAAAAAGGATCCAAAAGTAAAAGACTGGGATAGAATCTGGCAATCAAAGAAAATATGGTTCCCCAGTCCTCAAATGAATAATTTAATTGAAATTATGAGGAATAACTATTTATCATTTTATTAATACACATGTAGGTGCTTCCAACAATCCTCGGAGGAAAGGAATTTCAGACTGTCTTTACTTTAATTGTCACTTTGTCAGTCAACACGATTCATTGTGGAATACTGATCCCAATGTATTTTCATAGTATTTAAATATAAGTTTGTGTGGTAACTGAATTTCATACAGTTTCAAGTATAGTATCATGAGCTCAAAAACATATATAAATGCTAATTATCAAAACCCTGCCTCTCAAAATTTTGGAGATATAAGGTGTGACAGACGGACAGACAGACACCAGGTAAAGTGATCTCTAAGTGTCGTTCTGCTCTGCAGTTGACACAAAAATGAAAGTTAGTCAATTTTTGACCATGTATATCACTTCAGTGATGAAAGGAATGCTGAAGTGGTAAGTCTATCCTAATTA